ACTAGGACGGCCCTAGTCTATGTGGTTGCGGGGGACCACAGCGTCAAAATTCGGACCCACTGTCTTTTGTCCAAGGTTCAATGTATCGTTTATTTATGACAGGCGATGTTAGTATGAGAGGCATCTATGCAATGAAGGGGACATTTTTTCCATTTTTCGTTAAGAATCTTTTGGTGCTGCCACGGTTGCATACTTCTTTCTTCACCATTTGACAAGGAAAACGGTTTGACAGCGCTGCAACCCTATCAAAATAAATAAAGCCTCACCTCATAACTTAAAATTGTAATTTAAGTAGAAAGCCTTTACATTGATCATCTCGGCTTGAACATTATAGTTGTGAAAAAAAAAAAAGATTTCAAGCTCTAGAAATAATATATATTTAGACAAATTATCTAAAGACTATTTATTTTGCCCAAAAAATAAGTGTTCAGAGATCCACACCATCTGTGCCATTTTTTGAGTTTCAAAGTTTATTGTTGATGTTGGAAATTGATATTAGAGCCATCATGAAAATTTCTATTTGTCGAAAATGCTTCCAAGACAAGGATTTGAGGTGAGGGTTTATTTGGTTTTGAAAGCCTAGGCCTTATAGAAACTTCATTGTTTGATAAAGTGAATTTTATCATAACATATAATTTTAGTGTAAAAAATTATTAGGATGGCTTGACAATCTATTTTCATATCCAATTGTAAAATTCTAAAGGGTGTGGTTTGAATAGAGCCTGGGCTCTAACCAATCAAATTAGAGCCTACCTTCAAATAGTGTCGAGAAATGTGGTTTCAATACTTGAAATCTTTGTGGTTGCCTTAAAATATATTTTCATTTTTATTCATAAAGTTTAAAGCTTCAAAATTAGTGTAGATCGATAGATCTATGAAAACTTGAAAATCTTGAAAATTGACGGTCAAAAAATACATTACAAAATAAACTATTTTCAAAACTTAAATCCATTTTTTTCTCATGTGCATGCATCTTGATGTCGAGATGATCAATTTGCAGATATTTGAGCATCAAGACAACCTCTTCTAGGGAAATTTTTAAGGCATGCTCGAATTTTATTGTTTAGAGCCTTAGTTCTATATAAACTTTTCCTAATTTTAAATTCTAAAATTAGGTCAAATCAAGTAGATCTAGAAATACAAGAAAATATTGAACATCAACAGTTCAGATTGCAAGATACAATAGTTTTGGGATTCATTTTTTTTTTTTCTCTTTTTTTCATATTCATACATTTCGATGTCAAAATGATCAATTAAAGGGTTTCCAAACATCAAAATAGCTTTCACCCATGATTTTTTAAGTGCATCTTAGTTCTACATTTTACGGTTGTAACAATCACTATTAGTCATTGGATGTAATCTTTAATAGATTTAAGTGAGTTACAACATTTCAAAAAATTTTGTTTTGAACATTGTCCTTAGTTAATCGCACACTATCAACCGTCTAATTTCACATCTAACGAATCAATAGCGGTTGTGACATTCTTGTGCAAAAAGTAAATGGTCTCATCGTATATTTCTCTTACATAAACCTTTTTCCAGATAAAATTGGATAGTAAAAGAAGAGGTAACACCCAAAAGCCCATCCATTTTCCTATGAGCATGTAAGCATGTATGATGTGCTCATGTAGGAGCATAGTGTGTATTTATTCCCTCAATCAAAAGACCTACTTGAGAAAATTTTTACAGTTTAGAAACCACCTAAAAATTAACACATGATTATTTTTAAAAAAAAATTGAATTTTGAATTTTTTATGACACTTAGATCTTGCACTGCAAATATTTGAGGTATTTGTTCAATCTCGAGATATTATTTTTTCTCTTATTCATAAAAAGTTTATTTTGGGATTTTTTTTTTTTAATAGGCTAAGTCTATTGGCCTAAGAGGTTACATCCCCAAAATTTGCAGTCTTAAATTACTTCAAAACTGGATTTTACACGAGAGATTAAAAGGACAATCTACTCCTACAAGAGTATAAAATTTTTTAGCATTTCATATTTGGGGGTAAAGATTGCAGAAAAGTGTTGTGCCCACGTAACGAGCGCACATGAACATATTATCTATTATACACCATAAGATGAGTTATCGGGATGTGAAAAATGCTTGTTCCTGAAGTGACTAGAGCGTGTTCCATATACAAATATCAATGACTTCCAAATTTCAATCAAAACTAAATGGAGTGGTCTTTCATAAAAATCCAATCTTTGTCTCTATCATACTCAAATCATAGGTGAACCAGCTTGAGACATATCATTTGTTTGGCTTGATTTTCTGAGAAGTTAAATTTTGTTAAAGCTTTAGAAATGAGATTGCATATCATTTTTTTTAGTACAAGGAAATCACAATTGGTTTTAGTCATCGGCTGTAAAAACTGATGTTGAAATACTGAAGTATGTCACAATATTCTAAAAATTTTCGCAGCATTCTAAAAATTTTAGTTTAGACTTTTTGCACAATCAGTTATACATCTTTTTTTCTTTTCCTTTTCTTCATTTAATTTTTTTTTTTTTTTTTTTTTTTTTGCTTGTTGTTTTTTAATTTTAAAATGAACTACATTAAGAAAAATGGAATGTATACAACAAGACCATTTACATTTGATATAGGGAGGTCACAATTACTTATAAACCATCCAATGTAAATCCGAGAGTTTGGGTGTGTCACAAAGTTCAAAAAAATTTAAAATAACCCCTTACACCCTAATTTTAACTTCTATATCGTATGAGATCCAAAAATTAAAAATATTACTTGTAAAAAAAATCTTTCCATCTTTTCTATCTTATAACCCCCTAGACCCCTTTGACCATAAATTGTTTTACTTAAACAAGCACTAAAATGACACGCTAAAATTTAATCCCACGCGACTTTACCTCTCTCTTTCTCCTCTCTCTCTAAAAATTATCTCTATTCAAAGCTCCCCACACTACTTTTCCTTTCTCTCTCTAAAAAATATCTCTGTTCAGAGCTCCCCATATTATCTATATTCGATAAAGTTTGGAATTGTTGTGATTATAATTGATAATTTTGATTAAAGAAGAGATAAGATTGAACTATGGCTCTCTTGGATAAGCTTTGGGATGACACTTTAGCCGGATCTCAACCGGAAAATGGGCTTAGCAAGCTCAAGAAACTTGTTTCCTGGCCATCTCCGACCAAAGGTGAGTCGGAAAATACAATTTAATCTTTCTTTTTTGTGTTTCTTCCATTTGAGCAAAATCCACTCTATTTCTTTCTCTCGTTACATTTCTGTGTATTAGTGCTTTTTCCTATATATTTTTGTTGTGTATTTATCACTCTTTTCCACTGATTTTCCCCCATTTCTCTCTGTGTATGTGTTTTTTTTTTACAATAATTGATTTAATTCTATTTTTCAATTTGTGTTTAACGATTTTCAGTTCATGAGTTCTCTAATGAAGCCAAAAGAGTGACTCAAAGCATAATGATCGTGAAACCGCCTCTAAATAATAATCATGCTTCAAAAAACGGAAAACGCTGTCTTCTCCAACCGGAATGATGCCTCCGGTTTCTCCTTTTGCGGGTAATGTCAACTTTTCTGATTGATTTTATTCATTCACTTGTGAGAATTAGCCAAAATTTCGGGTATGTTGCAAGGTCTAGGAGGTTTCGAAGGAGATTTTCGTTGGATGACTAAGATATAAGCAGCATTTTAATATGGGGAGCTCTTTACGGAGATAATTTTTAGAGAGAGAGAGGAAAAGTAACATGAAATTAAATTTTAAGGTGCTATTTTAATATTTGTTTAGGTCAAAAAATTATGGTCAAAAGGGTCTAAGAAGTTATAAGATTAAAAAGATAAAAGACATTTGACTTATAAGTAATATTTTCAATTCTTGGGTCTCATAAAATATAGAAGTTAAAAGTAAAGAAGTAAGAGGATTTTTCCCATGAAATAAACACAACCACCCAATTTCACATCCAATGGTCAAGATTAATTATAACCACTTGTACCAAAAGTAAATAGTCTTCTATATACTTTCCCTAAGAAAATGAGTGTATACAATAAAACTATTTACCTTTGACATAGGGAGATCACAATTACTTATAATCAATGACACATCCTCAACCATGCAATTTCACATCCTACCGTCAATAATATTTATGATTTCCTTATTTCAAAAGTAAACGTTCTTAGTGTATACATGTTCCCTTCTCGTTCAAATTGGGAATGTTACCTCAAATTGGTTTAAGTGGCCTTGCTACTTTATCTCTTTGTATCAACTCTCAATCTCTTTGACTCAGAGGAAACTGAAAGATCAGTCCTCATTTGGAGGTTACTGCTACTTTATTAGTTCTCAAGTGTCTTTTCGGCCATCCGTTTGACGAGTCATCGATTGGCGATCGGGGAAGAACTAAGCTGCAATATGGCAAATACTTGACATAACATAAAATGAGTCAACTTGCTCCATATAGGCTTGCTAACCTTCTTCAAATAGGCTTCTTTCTTCGCTAACAGAGTCGGAAACTCTTGGTCATTCCTAGGGACTGAGCAATGGAGTTGAGTTCCTCGGCCCGCTGCTCACAAAAGGGAAAAGACAGCCTTCGAAAAGACTGCTATTTTAGAATTCACTGCTCTCTCTTTATTAGAGAATGAAGGGGACAGGTTCTATACGATTCTTTCTGGAAATCGTAAGCCACATTTGACCATTTAAAAACGAACAGTGACAAGTCTATTGATAGTAACTTTCATATCAGACCCTCATACTAGATATGACACCCTTTAAAAGTTCGGACTAAAATCATGAAAGTGACACCCTCTTAAAAAATTGGTTTTCTCCATCTAAATCATTTCTTCAATTATAATTGGATTGAAAAACTTGCCAGGCCAGCTCAACTTTTTTACCACGACTTACAATTATCAAATGGCCATCAGTAATTTTATTAGGCGAACCATTTTTTATTAAATTTTCTCAAAAAGATTCTAATAAATTAAATAGAGAAAATCCCCCCAAAAGACACCCATGCCGGAAAATTACACACAAAATCTGCAACTCTAGCCACTATTTCCACCACGAGCCTGAAAATCCACCAGAAAACTCAAATTTCCAGCTACTTTTGACCACACAAAACAGATTTAATAGCAAGAACCGATGACAAACCAACTATTGTTGAATTTCGCCTCTCATAAGCCAACCCTATTCCACTACAATTCAGCAAAAATTCATTGGAACTCATTTTTCCCCCAAAAAAAGCTTGAAATTCACTTTTCCAGCCACTTCTTGCACCACCATGGTAGAATTTGCACAAATTTCACTTTTCTGGGAAATGTTTGCACCACCGGTGCCACCAGAATCACACTTTTCCTGACACCTCTTCCATGCAGACAAGGCCACACATAGCCAAAGGAACAGCAACAGGTCTGGCCTACCTCCACATGCGCAAAGTCATCCGTACCATATAAAGACTCCGAAAAATCTCCCCGATGAACACTTCCTATCTCGAATATCCGATTTTGGCCTCTGCCACCTCATCGATCTTCACAATCTACACATCCAAATCCACCACCTTTGAGCTTTTATTACTTGGCCCGAGACTAGGATCACAACCCTTAGGCCGACACAAAAATCAGACATTTGGGCCATTGGGATAATTCTAATGGAACATCTAATTCCGAACCGGTAGGCTGCTGGCATTTGAAAAGCAGGGGGTTAAAATATAGAGTTTGCAAGCTTTGAGAAAGCGTCATTTTGGGGAAATTGTCCACTTTCAGAGATTTTTCATCATGCCTATGTGCCCATGAGGACTGCTACAAAATATAGATGCCATTTGTACAGGAATACAAAATCTAAAGATTTGCAACAATGTCTGCATCCCATACAGAGATTTATTGCCACATACACTAAATCCAAGCAAAATGAATCACCAATAGGGGAAAACTCAAAATAAGAGTAACAAATATGTTCAAATGTCATATAAGAAAAACTATCACTATAAAGGATATATTCTAAAAATTTAGGAACCAAAAAGGAAAGTGTGAGTAAAATTGCATACTGGTAACTGGTTGCAACTGCACTTTTGCATCCCCTCAAGTTGGTCAACAAAAGGTTATGCAGAACTTTGCAGAAGCCTACAAACTTAACATGTAACTTCGGATAAGATCCAAGATAAGTGCTCTTCACAACATGAATCATACATGTGTGCTCCCATGAATATATAATAGGTAGCACATAGGACATATGGACTTCTATTAACCATTGATTTTGGTATAACCATTAAACTTAAAAAGAGAACCATAAGCAGCATCAGCTACGTATACACATAAAAATTTCTATGCTCATAAACACATCCCAGATGTGCTGGTGCATTAGATCTCATTAGGGCCCGAAAATTATCAGTGCCCTAATAGAATGTGACCATTCAGAAGTCCGTGTGTCATAACCCATTTTACCTGCAATATAAAGTTTAACAGTCACACAGATGAAATGGACCCTTTTTTTTTCTTTGAAAATTACAGAGATTTTTTTCCAATGTCAGATCAAATTGCATTTCATCCAAAAACAAAAAAATCAATCCACAGCTGATGCTTGGAAAACCAGGGCCAAAGATCCAAACTAAACCAGCAGTATTGCATTAGATCTCATTAGAGCCCGAAATTATATGTGCATATGTGACCTTTGAGAAGTCCTTGTGTCACAAACCATGTTACCAACAATACAAAGTAAAACACACCCACATAAGAGAAATGGCCTTGCTGCAGAAAACAAAATTAAAGAAACAATAAGCTCTTCCATGTCAGATCAATTAACATTTCATCAAAAAGAAAAAAAAAATAATAATAATTTAAATCACAGTTGATGCTTGGAGGTAAAGCTGGCACACCTCCAAACTAATGAAGAAAATCACCAGTGGTGGGTTCTTCATATATTCAGGGAAGCCAATATGGTTACCGACTATCTGGTAAAGAGGGTGGTATCCATGGCAAAAGCAAAAGTATGACGTGCTCGCTCCCCCAGATAATCTAGATCCTTTATTATTATAACCCAAAACTTGTTTGGCAAGGTTTGAAATTGAGCCCTAACCCAAATTTCTAACATAAGGGAAACAAATTTAACTATTGTAGCAACTAGAAGTTTCTACAAGAAGGCAACTCTACAGAAAACGTCAATAAGATCATCACTTGGCTCAGTTGTATCTTTGACTTGCACTCGTCTCGACAAGACTACATCTCAGATATACAAAGTTCAGAGTGATTGATGCTTAGTAACTAAGTCGAGGGTGTGATAAATACCTTGAAAGTAGTGGGAAAATGTGTTGAAGATAAGATTCACCAAAGCACCACACTTCCCCCAAATCTCTTTTCCCAATCATAGGATGGAGCACGAATACAAAACTAGTTTAGAAAAATACTTTATGAAATTCATCATAAGAATTACCTGAATTGTAACTGAATTTAGAAAACATTTCTAAATGATACAGATCAAATTTCCATGAAGCATGCTCTTCATGCCTCCCGTAAACCACCGTCTCAAGAAAACGTCACGAACATCTCTCTCAAAAAACAGTCATGACTCTCTCTCTCTCTCTCTCTCTCTCTCTCTCTCTCTCTCACACACACACACACAACAACACTACACTCTACTACTCTACCTCCTCCTCCT